CTCACGATCGAGAATAGTTCAACATTCCAACATCGTTTATTTATTTATTTGACATTTATTCGGGCCGAAAGTCGGTGTAGTTCGAATAATTGACTGAGTTGCGAAAAAAATACTTTTACAATAAGTAATTTTGTAAATTTTACAATTAGTAAATTTTTTAAGGCTTTTAGGGTCAAAGCTTAGGTTAGTGGGCTTCTTTCTAAGCGTGTACGGCCATAGCATAGAGCTTTAGAGAGTTGGACTTAGAGAAATGCATACGTACAATTTGGGACTGCCACGAGCGTGTGTGATGATAAAAGCCATTAAAATATCAATGTAATGTTCTACTGGCACACCTAATGTAAATTGGTAACCGCCGCCCATTGACATTGCAACACTCGCATGGTTGCAGATGCATTGCCACCCTCTCTTTCGCTTGGTTATTTCACCTTACTATCGAATAGTTCATTTCGCACATACCTTAATAGCGCGTTAGAATTTTTATGATGATGAATTTATTAAACTTTTGCTAACACTGGCTGGGTACGTACTGATGTATAAAAGGCTACTACAAATAATGCGTCACACTTTAATAATTTGGTAAAACGAACACTGCCAAAGGTTTAAAGTGATAATGAAAGTAAAAAAGACGTAAAGACGCTATCCATAAAATAGGGATAGACAGTTTGATGTTCAGCGCACACTGCACAAGTTTAATACAAAGTTTGGGCATCGTTTGCTATTGGATTAACAAAGCATCGCTAAGAAAACAATGTAGATAAAGGACGTTGAGAATTTCGTCGGTGTGGCAATCAGTCGTTTAGCTTAGTGGTTAGAGCGTCAGGGCGCGAATCCCGAAGACGTGGGTTCGATTCCCCTAGCGGCGAATATATTTCCTTTCATGATCTTATTTTACTCATATGATGATGTAAATAAAAACTATTACACAGAGGGTATTGATTTTTCTATTTTAACGCCAATTCATACTCCACTGTAATAGAAAACAGTTTAAAGATGACTTGCAACACAATATAACACTGTAGTTTTGAAGTTACGTAAGCGATAAGTACGTCCATACTCAATAACAATCAGACAGTTCCGTCCAAAGGTACTATAGTTATAGTCTTGATTGTATTTGTACTGTAATTTTATTTATTAAGTGTAATTTTCGACTAATTTACTTTTTAATGAATTGTAATCGTTTACTGATGGCGTTTTTTATGTGTTCTTAAAAATAACACGTGCGATATTTAATTCTAGAACAACGTTCGACGAGTCACCGCAAAATTAATGATTTAAAACTGCTAAATTACTACCAAAATACTGGGCAGAGGTTATCACTTTACTTCAGGTAAACAAACCGTTAGTTCCTTTGCCACCTTTTCACATAAAAATAAACTAATTTAAGCACCACCAGTCCACTTAATTGTGTTAAAAACATCCAATATAACATAAACAGGAATGTGAAATCCAAATGGCGTTTATTTTACTGGACGGCAGCAAGTGCGCTTTCTGTCATAAGCATTGGTTAACAGCTTAATAATCTACGTTTTCTCCATAGGAGCAACAACATAAGTTAACTAAACTTACAAGCAATAGTCGCATTAGCTATCAGGCTCATTTCAATAATCACTTACAATGTACACAATAGAAAAACATGCTCATTAAGTAATAGTTTATAAAGACGGACATTAAAGTTATTTGTTATCACAATAAAAACTTATAGTGGCTTGGTAGTATTTGGCCAAACGATGCAAATTAAGTATGTAGTCTATTCGTCCTAATTTATTCCGTGTAAAATTCGAACTGCGGTCTAATTCGATATGCGGACAGTCCCAACCAGAACAGTGCAGCAGCCTCTGTATGTCTTTACCACGGCTCTACAAATGGAACCAGAAAGGCAAAGAAGTGGCTAGTGGTTACTTTAGCGTTTTATCTGAGGTAATGAAGCGGTTCTTAAAGATGGCAACGTATCCACAGCCATAACTGTGTTGTAAATTACTGCAGTAGGGGTTGCGTTGGCAACAGTCTTCGCTGTTGCACAAATGGGCAGGTCTGTCTGGGCAACCACGACCTCATAGAAGGCCGGCGTGAAGTGGAAGTGTTAAACATTTGGGTTTCGTCTGGTGAGTAATGTAGCCGAGGGCTACTTTATTATAAACTGGCAATGAATCTACAAGTCTACGAGTGTTCCAAATGTTATCACTTAACATCAGGAGAACCCCCAGCTCGCTTGCCACCTTCTCAGATAAAAAGAATTGTCTACGAGCAGAAATCGCTTAACATCAGGTAAACCGCCTGCCGCACTTCAAATACGAACAAAAAAGAAGATAATATATATCAAGACCAATCCTGGTGTCTGCGCGGTGTTTACTTTGAATCTGCTAGCTTATTCTCAGTAGCAAAAGATCACCCACACTCGTTTGTGTCAATTTAACGTGTCGTTGTTTTTGTGAATGGCGGCCATTTTCTCATTTCGTCTCCATTGAGTCATTAAGGTGCGACGCAATAAGTATCCACTATAATACAGCATGACATCTTGTAACAAGTGGACTTTGGCTTGTCAGTGAGTAGGGAGTTAATTAAATAATGTACGCTTGAGATAACATCACCGTTCGAGTAAGCACAATTATTTCCAAAGATTATGTATATGACATCGAAGATAATATTTCGGGATGACATCGATTAATTAAAAAAAAATATTATCGCTAATGTGCATTACTGATTCATGCGGTATCTATACACTCATACAAAAAAATAAAAACGTACATTTTTTGAATTTCAATGATGCTTGTCATTAATTTAAAATATAAATAAAATGAAGCATCTGACTGGTATTGCGTTAATTGCTATGTATATTTATAAGTACATACCAATTTTCACATGAAATATATGTATAGAGAAATGGAAATCAAACGCATTAATATCCAATAAATATTTAATACCCTCTTAGTAATGGAGACGCAAATTGTAGAAATTTAGATATAACCTCGAGAGGTCACGGTGATAATATTATCTCCGTCCTGAATTTGCCAAGCGCTTGGGGCATGATTAAATTAGCCCGTGTTAACTCGAAAATGTATTTTAGATGAGGGCTGAGCCTACCCGTAAACTAGATCATAAGTCGCATAATTTGCTCATAAATTCATTCTATATTCACATGTTTACCATCGATTAAGCTTATCGGAGAATTTAAACCAGTACTAAGGACCATAATATAATATACACATCAATCAAACTACAACAATACTGACTACAATTAATTAAATAATATTAACAACAATAAACAATATAGATATATATGCAATATATATCTATATTGTTTATTTTTATTTATAAACCCAACCAGACGAGAATACAAATGAATATCCCCCCACAATAATATAATAGTAATATTTAGTATTTTATTATTATTTTTAACATACATACTAAATATATGAATAAGATTATTTCGCATTAATTAAAACTAACGAGCGAACACATCAATGTCACCATAAATGCACGTTTATACCTGCATTAAAGATTTCGCGGGTGAATTGACAAGCGAAGATATTATTTAGCAAAACAACTATCACCGCTTTTTTATGTTAGACAGTGGCAAACGAGCTGGCGGTTCACCTGATCCAGTGATAACTGCCGCCCATGGACATTTGCAACACCCGTAGGCTGCAGATGCGTTGCCACCTTTAAATAAAGTGGGCGCCGGCTACCTCACTCACCAGACGAAACGCAGATGTCTAAAACTTCTACTTCACACCGGTCCTCTGTGAGGTCGGTGGTAATAAACCGGACGGACCTGCCAATTCGTGCAACAGCGAAAACTGTTGCGTGGTCCTAACCACAGTCAAAATTTAAGCACAGCTTTAAGATTAATAATATATCGTAATTAATATTCGTATATTAATACATCGTAGTGTTATCAAAACACGAAAAAATTTAATAATAACAAAAACAGAGTGTACCTAATAGTCACTTATAATCCATATTATTAAAAAAGTGAATTCACGAGCTGATATTACGAAGCGAAACAAGTATTGACGCTCTATGATAGCATATAGTGATTACATCATCGTAGAGTTCAAAACAAATTATATCAAAACACAAAAAATGAAATATTAACAAAAACAGCGTTAACTAGTCACTTCTTCTATATTATTAAAAACATTCTCAATCTTTATTTACTATATATCGTGCGTGTATCGAATCATCGTCCTAAGTTGAGTTAAAATTTTTAGTTTTCTATAACTTCTGTGGCAATGGGTCCATAAATAATACAAATTTTTACTAACAAAAAACAATACCGATTTAAAATATCTAACTCACTATACATCTTCTATTTGATTTTGAGGAGTTCCTCAGGTGTACCCTGGATGTATCTTCGGAATCCAAGAGGCCACATGGAGCTAAACCGAACATAGCAAAAAGTTTTCAAATCTGTTTATAAATTACGGAGGGTAACTGTTTACATTAGGGGCACGCGCGGTTTTAGTATATAGATATTTTTAATCGATAGAAAAACGTTACCGAATCAATGATACTAAGTAAATAATAGGCGGAGACACGATTGGCAATTTAATACTAAGTAAATTCGCCATTACGTTGTGCAGAAAATTTGTTTTTGTTGGTAATTTTAAGAGGGAACTCCAGGGGAACTCACGTTTTTACATTGTTTGAGAATGCAGTCAAACTTTAAAACATTATTACTCATAAATTAGGATAACTTCGGTTTAACACAAAATAAAATTATTTCAAATTTATAGGTCAGGTTCGTTCCTAACCGATCAAAATTTTTGTACACTAAGGAGCGATGATTGACTAAGTAACTAAGTTAATAATTGTTTCGATAATGTGTCTCTATCGATTAAATATATTTGTAAACGATAAAGGCGCGTGCCCCTAATGTAAAGAATTACCTGACGGATTTCGGAGGTAAGAAACATAAAACAGACAACCTAATTGGGGAACTTCCTCCTTTTTTTGAAGTCGGTGGTAAGAAGAAAGAACAATGGGGATTCACTCACCTCATACGCCGGCGTGTTGAGACTGTCCCTGATGACTGGCGCGCTATTCCTCGGTCCGATAAACGCCATATTCTCATTTTAAATCGCACACAAATAACATTTATCACAAGCACGCCAAGCGGCGTGATCTGACCGCAGAAAAACCCGGCCACCCGATGGCGCCACACTCACGAAGTCAACACCTCGGTTACGGCAATCGAGTTAGGCTCCAGTAGTGTCACTTCAACAGTTCAACACATAACATCGCAGATATTATGGCACTCGATGATACGGTATTGAGATGGACTGGACCAACTTTGCACCACCTGCGCACGACACCGCGTCACTCGCACGGATTACGAAAGATTCACACACACAGACGCACACTTCCCATTTGATGTTACGACGCCCAAGGTCAGTGCAATTATCGTTACTAGCGTAACGCGGAACGAGAATTATTTGCAATTACAATTTGGTATTATATCTTGCGCTGGAGTGGCTTACTTGTCCGATTCCGATGACGCCGTTCGTTATGGTCGACGTATTGTGTACCCTGAATCCAGATACGAACCAACAAATTGATTAGCGATTAATTACACTGCAAGAAAACAGAGGCTCATCGTTTATGTAGATTATGCATTCGAAAGTATTGGTGCATCGACTGTTACGGACGGACGATCGTTGTATTGTCGTTTTCGCTTTTTTTTTACCGTCAACATTGCTTAGTATATTTTTTTCCGTACGTTAATATAGTTAATGATAGGTTTTCTGCTCTCATTCCCCCTTTACCAACTAATGTAAAACATTTATTTCGCTAATGTGATCTTGATTGCTCGATGAACGTTCGGCATAGTCGTTAATATGTCATGTATAAGTAAAACAGATGTTGATAGAATAACTTATGTAGCGCCGGCGAAGGCTAGCGCTGAGAAAGCGATCTCTAATTAAATCGTGAGAAATTTCTCTCGGAGAAAGTCCACGACAGGTGGAAAGGGTGGCCGAGCGACAGCGGACCTTCTACAAGCCTAGTGATCTATTCGACACTCGATATCAAATATCGTTACAAAATATAGATCTCGTTTTCATCATTGTTTCAAAGACGGAAGAAGATCGCGTTTAGCACAAACTATAAAATGTTCACATTAATTAATTAATATAAACGTTTACCATTAAATTAACATCAACGTTATTATAATTACTTTATATATTGCCACTTACTAATGGCGTCTTCATATGTTGCACAATGCATTAAAATACTATTTAGTACAGTCGTCAGCAAAGTCGGATAAGAAAGACAATTATCATCAGCAAAAAACCTATATTTTTATTTACTTGGAACTCACAACTGAATACTACTTGTGATCATTTGGGTTCCATGTAAATATTTGACATTTTTAAAGAATTTAAATTTTTATATGGCTACTCTTTGCACTTAAGATAAAATTAAGAAAAAACACATTTTTCTACAATTTTATTTTGATTATATATTGAATTTCATTAATGAAAGACATAACTCACACATCACTAAAACGAAAAACAATTTGTAGCGAATGTTTACTGTATCCGGAAATCTACGTCGTTAACTTCTGATAATATCTTATATATATGTGGTGGAATTTAATGACTACTGCATTTAAAGACTAAAAACATGTTTCCTATTTTATAAGTTATGCCTCTCCATTAATAAATGCGGAATAAAATACATATGTATTGTCCAAACGAGAATGTTTTTAGCACACTATTCACTCACAAAAACAATAAAGCCTTAATTACAACGCTGATATTACCCGCTGTATATTATACATACACATACATCAACTATCTTAGATTTTACTAGGAATTTACGTAAAGTTCGTATTTGTATCTAAATCGTCTGTAAAGCTTTGTTCCATATAAAGAAATGCGTGCATCTTCATAAACGAGTTCATAACAAGTGTTTTGGTAACAGCCCGAAAATAACAAACAACTAAGAGCGACCTAAAAGCAGAAAAGCACCGCGTATTTAAGTCTAGAAACAAAAGGAAATTTCGATTTCAAAAAGTCCATCAAACCCTTCATGGGCGTACTTGATCCGATTTTTGATCTAAAAGAAAAATGGATATATGTATCAAGTTTCGGGTAAAATATCGATAAAACACGCAATCCAGTTTACTCCACAGCTTCTAAGACAAATAATTTATACATAATAAGTATAACACACTTTTTAATTTTATGCACTTCTACATATAAACTTTATGAAAACTTCACACTCCTTCACACGCGCTATTTATTAAAAAAAGACTTGGTCCACTTATTTTTATACAATAATATTAGAAAGCATAACGAAGTATTCCCCTTCGTTATGTAAAAAATAATTTATGTCGTGTCTTGTCAAGGTTTACTTGATTATAGCGTTAATAGTTTATAAATATGGATTTGAAATCTTTTTGTAGATGTTAAGCTGCTCCCACCGCTCATGGACGCGCACAACATCCGTGGAATAAAATAGAAGAATAAATAAAATGGGCCCCAGTTACCTCAGTAACGAGACGAAACGCAGTAATGTAACTCTTCACGCCGGTCTTCTGTGAGATCGTGGTATTTCCCCGGACGGACCTGCCATTTCGCGCAATAGTCAAGACTGTTACGTGGCCCTAACACCGTTAAATTTCCACTAATTCCCCACTCACCAAAGGAACGAAATGCAAAAGCCCAACTATTTCTTCTTCACTTCTGTCCAATCAGGTCGTTATATATCGCTGGGCGAGCTTGCAGATACGTAACACAACAGAAACTGCGACGTGGCTCTTCCAGATATAAGAAAATGCCATAAAGGATAGAAGAAACCTTAAAGAAAAGAAGAGAAGATACCTTAAGCTAATGCCCGAAAGTTAAATGAGCATTCAGGCAACCTAGAACATATTCACACGCCCTTATGTCCGGCGATGGTGTTGTCATGACCGTGATACGAAATAACGAATATTGAAATTTAATCTCATTGCCCTCAACGAGAACTCGATCGCAAAACGCCCTATATGCGCGATCTATCTGCCCTCGGGCCACCTAAAGTGGTTTTCATCTGATTGACAATCAAATTTGAACGTTGCGTGATGTCGTCATTTTACTGAAATACGAAAATACGAGTAGTGTGTCTTTAAACTGTATATGATGACACACTATGATATTTACTAGATTTCCATAAATAAAAATAAATTATAAATCAATGTACAATTAATAATAGCATCATCTATAAAACGGCAATAATATAAGCAGCGGATACAAAATATTATAACAACAATTAATTTTGCATACGGAAATCTAAGATCGAAAGTGCGCTATTTGAATTTGAAGATTAATGAGTATAATTATTAAGAATAGTTTAAAATAAACAGTAAGTAAGTAAAAAGATGAAAGATGTATAAATAATTTTTTCCTTTAATTAAAATGCAATACACAATTTATAATTACGATGTCGGTCGGCATCTTATTGAAAGAGAAAGCGTTGGTTAAAGCATTATCAGAGATTAAATAATAAAATGAATAAAACTGCAAATACCAATGCTATCACGATCATTCTCATTTTAGCTTTGTTAGCAATTAATATAACGTGATCCATGATAAAGATTATAATTATGTTGAATGAACAACCTGAATAGAAACGGAACAAAAATTATTTAATTTCACCTTTCTCAAAATTAGATTCTACCAGAATATTAGTCATTATAAAAGTTGCCAGCTATCTTGGAATTTATATGTATCTACTAGTAAAAAGACAACTTTTAAGCACTGTCATCCAGGAAAGTTATCTATAAGGTTAGCATTTATGTACTTTGTTTTCAACAAAGTACATAACTCGCATTAGTTATGTACATTTCAAATAACGGCATCCAAACTATAAAAACAAACTATAAACCACCTTAAATATTTAATGTAAGTCACGACGACTGCGAGCGACTGATATTTACGGGCCCCCATTGGCCTTACGATCTATTTGCGAGGCACAAATGTAGCACCAGAGTCCTATAAATATTTTGCTAACACTCTGTATTCCCTTTCAAACACTCCAACTCTTAATACTCCCGCTTTTCATTTTAGTCAAATTGACGTGATCGTGATGTTGAGAGAGCCATATCGTCCATCCATTCGAACTCTGTCGGCATTGATTGCGTTAGCCGTAAAATGGTCTTTCCTCTTCTGAACTTCCTTACCCCTGTAATTACTTCTATATTCCGGTTTTCGTCCTGGCCACCGCACGACTACAGCACTCCTGCAAATTATCGACGACATTCGTTATGGCATGGATAATCAAAGACTTACTGTACTGACTTTGCTTGACTTCAGCAATGCATTCAATACTGTAGATCATGACATATTGCTCGCTATTCTGCGTTCTCTCAACATATCTCCGATTGTGGTTGACTGGTTTCATAGTTACTTGTTTGGTCGCCGACAACGTGTTCAGGTGCAGGATGTTTTCTCTTCCTAGAATAACAAAGTTGCCGGCGTTCCACAAGGCGGCGTGCTATCTCCTCTTCTGTTTGCAATCTTCATTAATACGATAAGCTCTCACCTATCTTCTTCCTACCACTTGTACGCTGATGATCTCCAGATTTATACTCAATCGGCTCTGGAAAACCTGCCTATATCGATTGAAAGCACTAACGGTGATTAGGCTTGTATTTCTAATTGGAGTAAGGCATATGGTTTGACTATCAATCCTACGAAAACTCAAGCCATTATCATCGGGAGTTCTAGGTTGGCCGCTAAAATCGACTGGTGTTCTTTACCCCCAATTATTCTTAACGGTACTCACATCCCGTACAGTAAAAAGGTGAAGAATCTGGGAATATTTTTGACGCCTGTCTGACATGGACACCACAGATAAATGAGACTAGTAAAAAAATGTTATCTGCTATAGGCTCCTTACGAAGACTGCGTAATTTTCTTCCTACTGCTACTAAAGTTGCGCTCGCTCATTCACTACTTCTGCCCATCCTTGACTATGCTGATATTTGCTATCTTGACATTACCGAAGTACAGCTTAATAAACTTGAGCGGATTCAAAATTTGTGTCTTCGATTCATATTTGGGCTTCGTAAATATGATCATGT